TTAGCATATAGAATACAGTGTAGTATAAATATGCAAGGAAATGTCAACAATCTGAATTTAATAAACACATTTTTGCAATCTTCTCTATACTGCAGATTGCCTATAATTCTAATAGCACGACGTTGGAGAGCAAATATTCGTGTTGCAGTTGTACCATATACAGTACCATGTATACAGAACACAAATAAATGATAAAGAAATGCAAAGATTACCACCTGCATTAAATAACAAAAAAAAAACAACAAAAGTAAACTACCTACACAATGTTCTCTTGACGACCGCTCAAACCAAGAAGCGTTGGTGCTCTCAAATATGTGTACATTCCTGGTCCCGAATGCTCCATAATCTTCATTGAACATGTCTCGGGGAAAAATCACCAGCTCTTTACGAAATTCAATTAAAAATGTACCTGGGGGGAATCCCTTATTTGCAATGTTATTCAATCACGTCCCGGATATAGGGACCAATGCCCATCGAAATCTCTCCTCCTTGAACTTACCCTGACAGAGATCAGAGAAATACAACCATCACTCATTTAAGTCTGAAGAGGGAAATCGTAATAGTGAGATAGAGGATGCCACTGAGACTTGTTATTTAAGTTGATCGAAAGGCGCCATCTCCCCCAACCAATCGACAGTTAAACTACCAAACCCAGATTTGTCCACTTTGTTTAACCAATCTGTGAGTAGGTCATCGATTTTACTCTTCACCATCAAATGAAAAGATTTTTTACCTGTTTACCTTGAAGTTGTCTTGGAATGGAAAGGTAAGTGCAAACCATTCTCAATGCATTCACTTTACTATATATCAACATTTGTTACACTTACAAAACCTAACATGCTACTTTTAGCATTTGACAAAGTAGGATAAGTTAAATTTCTTTACAATAAACCTAAGTATTCTTTGGAACTAGTACGTACATGCGCTGTAAAAATTTGTCATTTAAAAAATTGATCTAAAGCTAAAAATTAACATTCGAGCCCTCTTCCCAAACCAGCCCAGTGATCGGGCACCATTAAAAAATACCTATGCATCGCATCAATGAACCGTTTCCTATACTCCTTTGGTGAAATGATAGTCGGCAACTTCCCTTGACCTCCCAAAAGCCCCGACTTCTTCACCATCGTCTCCAACTTTTTGTCCCATGTGAATGTACGAATATAATCTGTAAGAAGTAAGTAATGCACCTCAGGCTCAAACTCACACTAATTACCTATTATTCCAAGCACAAGCTCTTTATTGTCGGAATCTAAGCCCACCAGTAAGGAGTAATCCATCACGGATTGCTCCGATAAGAATTCTGTGTCATTATGAATCGCGGCGGTTAAAACTACTTTGGAATGCGGCAAAATATACAGGGGAGTCTCGCACGACACTGAAAAATAGGTACAATTCGACTGATCACCTACACCAGTCACTCACTTTTTAGTAAGTTTTCGTCCAGAAGAACGATTTCTCCCTCCTGATTATCGGGATTGACCAATCGATTTCGCATCGAACCTTTCAAGTCGAACTTATGCGTCACCTTCCGATTGTAAAATAAATTCTCCATGACGAGCAGGTTGGTGCGCAAAGTTGCGTTCGTCGTAACGTTCCTGTAGATAATTTGATAGATGCCCACAATTTTACCTAGCAGCGTCGGCTGGCGCGAGTCGAAACACCGCTGCAGGTAGTCGAAGTAGTTGTGGGCAGAATCGAGAAAGAGTTGTATTTCGGACTTGGGCAACTCCTTGAGTACGAAGCGGTCATCTACAAGTGAAGGTTAGGAAGTGTTCGGATTTNACGCATCGCGAAAGGGAGCGAGTGAAGGCCTCCTCACCGTCTGGTACGAAGATACTTCGTAACCATGCAAAACGTTCAGCGTAGTAAATACGACAGAAAAAGTTTGTGTTGTGATCGGAAAATTGGATTTCAATGTGGAGCGTTTTGCCCTTCCTTGCGTCATCTGGCTTCTCCAAACTGGGAGGGGATTCTTCTGTTTGACTATTAATAGAATAAAATATTATTTTCTGTTTCACGTTGTCCAAATTTCAAATTTTTTGTATATAAGTTACTGATACAGTGAGTGAAACAAAAGCGGTAGTTAAGTAAGGTCGGCTTCAGTCCACTTTGACTATGAGATCTGCGCATGCCCCAAGTTCAAGGTCATTCGATTCGGTTCTGTGTGTCTACGGAAAGAAAAGATCGGTTTAACGAATCTGATTCTTATAAACGGACCCATTTTCTACTGAACAGAGCTGTTTCTATGGAAAAGATCTGATTTTAATGAACAGACCTGTTTCCGTAGATTACACTCCATTAATATTGGGCCAATCAGCTTGGTGATTGTTTCAAATTCCAACCAATTAGATGATTTTTTAAGTCATTAAAAGCTAGGTAGCTTTTTATCAGCGATAAAGATGCGTGTAGGAATGCGTAAAATATATAGTGGTTGTAAAATTTACTCTTTTATTAATCTCGCTAAAATACACTTGATCTTGGTTTTAAAATCAGGATAATTTTAATTAATAATAATAATAATAATAATAATAATAATGTGTTTATTTCCACCAATTCACTCCAATTTTGTTGCTTCCTGAAAAAATCTCTCGATCAAAAGAACATGATACAATTTTATCACACTTTTTCGTTGCAACAAAACTTTGGTGTAAAATTAAAATTATCCGATTAAACTTACCCCGACAAACAGAAATGAATCAAATGACCTTGAACTTGTCGCGTGCGCAGATCTCAAGATCAAAATGGACTGAAACCGGCATTACTTACCTTATCTTGTTTTCTACCTCCGAGTGCTCGAATTACACATTTTTTTTAAAACAAATTGCTATCCGCTGATTATGAGAAGAGTTTGTTGCAGAAAGCAACCCCTATTTGCAATTGAGAACCAATTAAAGTCAAGATACAGAAAAATATGGACATCAAATACCCAAAATTAACTACATTTCTGAAACGCCAGAATATAGGTTGCAGACCAACACATTTACGTTTCCATAGAAATTACTTTACCTCGCGTAGGGAGTTTTTGATTACTTTACCTCTCGCAAAAAGTAAACGCACACTCTGCTCCCACAAATGAGGGG